GAGGATAATTAGATGCGAAGCATGTAGAGGAAGGCAACGTGGCAACAGCACTTCGACGATGCAGTAAGTGCAGAAACATGTATTAGCGCTGACGAGAATAGACAAAGGACTTGGTCGCGAAAAGCGGTGACGTACGAAGGTGGGTGCCAATGAGTCAAAACTGCAACCGGGTAGGTCAGTCTATGGATGGCGCAGCCGCAGACCGAGTTGATTTCAGCACACCAAAATCACAGGATATCTGCTTTGTGCAGAAATGACGATAAAACTCATCGACTGATATGACCGAAGCAAAAGCATATTACTAGTTCATTATATTGCTTTATTGTAATCCCCCCCATATCCCAAGGATATCGCTGTAAACGGCGTAATCCCCATACTTCCCGCAGTCAGATGAGTTATTACTTAACAATATTTCATTCGCAGTAATGCGGATACCACTTAAATAATGTTCTTTCTTATCAGTTTGCACACATCATTCATTAGGTTCGACATCCTGTCGCGAAATCGATATCACAAACCCAGAGGTAACATTTAAACCAGGTGATCAGGCTGATGTGCAGCGTCGATAAGTAAACTGATTTACAGAGTCCTTCTCAATTATCGGTTTAAACCATGAATCGAAAACCGGAGCATTCACTATCATCGCAGCAGACAACGAATCGATACCTCCTTCCATAAATGAGATTTATTCAACCATGTATGAATTAAGGAAGATGTCAACTGAATACGTTGGAAGCCAAAAAGCTGCTATGATAAAACCTTCATAACAATTTTGCTTTGACGTTTAAGAAAAACGGCAAAGGAAAACGCTTTTAAATCAGAAAACCGGCCATATACCACATTACCGTTTCATTAACGGTTTCCTTAATCAGAAGCCGCCTTCGGCAGGTACAAGTTAGGCATTAAATGATTACTGAACTTTACAAAATATTTAAGTAAACGATTGTGATTGTTACTAACAAAAAATAGAATTCGAAGCTATATATCATTAAGAACTTGCACAAAAACTTCATAATGACAGACAAACAGCGAGACGCTTTTCTTGACCTCACTTCTATGTTTAATATTGTTCCGCGCGAACCAAGTGCTCCAGAGGTCAGACATTCTTTCCCTTGTTGCGTCAATGACGTAATCGTAAGTCATTCAGTTTCGATGACTGGTTATCCTTTCCGGTTGCGAAGTCAGACGCATAAGACAGTGATTCAAACATTCCCGATCTTATGTTAGCCTTTGAGCTTCGGTAGATGATAGCGAAGTCTAGAGCAGCACTTTGAGACATTGCCACTAGGTCATTCCTGGCCGTCCCCTAGGAATTCGGCTGGCCGGTTGAGAAAGTAATGTTTATTGTTTCTTTTTCCTTTCCAGAAGCATTCACAAGATGAGGTCAAACTATCATTGCTGTGAGGAACTACCGCAATCTGAAGAAGCAGCAGCTTCACATCAAGATGATCTCGCAAATTTTAACTTCGGATTGCATCGAGATGCGAGAGCCCAGTGGTTCGTTTCAGAAGTCACTTTAACCGATTGAATTAAGAAAATTAGAGTTGTCATTCACGGCCTGCTACTTATGACCACAGGTCTGCATGTTCAAAACCATCTTGAACAGAAAAAAAACTGTCTTCGGACACCGTTCTGCGTTAGTTCCAGTCATTCAGATTAGTTCAAGGAGGATGCCGCTGGACGGGCGGTTGCTTTTATTTTTCAACATTATCCTGAAGCACCTCATCTTCTCAACCTGGTCCGTTCCTTTTTCCCTTATCCGCCAATGGCAGGTGCTAGTAGAACGAGAATGCAGTACACTTCGGCTTTGGACACGCACAGGCGTATGCAAGCCATGTCGCACTCAGCTGGATGTCTTCCTGAAGAGTGTGGGAGATCTGTTTTGCAATATAGTAACAAAAAGAGTCACCTGCAAGATGTATTTCTCTCCTTGATATATCCCAGGGTGATATATCGCAATGGTTGCACCGTATAGGTCCTATCAATGGGCAGCAGAAACAGGAGAAGGGAAAGAATGCAAACTTCGCCGGGTAGCATAAACCATGAATGATCTCGACTCAACGACATTTACTACTCGGACGCAGCACGTTGTTATCAATATACGGTGACTATATAGTACTATGGGAACTAGAGAGAGCTGCATTGCAATGCACAGTGCTCGGAAAAAATAGAACCCCATTTCTCCAGTCTGGAAGTACGTCATCGTTTCTTGCACAGGACTTGATCATAGGTTATCTTCAGGTTCACAAAACATGTGCAAACCGGTCTGAGCAAATTTCCTCGATTTAGGAACAATCTGATCAAGGGTGCGTCGGACTAATCACAGGCGATACTGCTTTCCCTTGACCTTAGAGTAAGTCATTCATCATGAATTATTTAACCCGTTACACGGCGTTTCCTGAGAGATTCAGTAAGCAATTTACTCTAGGAGGAAAACTTCTAATGGTCAACATTACTGAGCAAGAATAGCACAACCTTGTTTTCTAGTGACTAGATGCGTCCCCGTAGCCACTGTTGCTTCACACATGTGTTAGTCACATTATGCCTTTTTCGATTATAATTTGAAACGTGTCAGGGTGTGTTCCATCAATTTCCGAAGCTTTCCGACTTTCAAGTTTTTATCAGCCTCTGTGACTTCATCTACTGAAAAAAAATATAATTTGCTTGCTGCCGTTTAGACGAGTCTTTTTGTGGTTCCTCGTGGTCAAAGAGTTTTTCGACGTATTTTCGCTATTCCAGAAGTGTATCTTCATACCCGGTAAGTGGGCATCGAGATTTGTCCTTCAAACTCCTACACGGTCTTCTTTCCATTTTGAAGGCGGCGGGTGGCCCGCCAAAATATCTTGCTTGCAATCAGTAAGTTCGACTTAGGCAGCACAGTAAACGTGTTTGAGGAATTGACTTTTGCTTTAGCTACAGCCTTTCCGTTAGCGCCTTTCGAAGTTATTCATATCAAAGTCGAATTTAAGGCCTATTTCCATGCCAATTGAACCTGTGAGATAGGTTTATTCGCAAAAATCGGCAATATCACTGAGAACTCCCACTCATTAACCGGATGATCACATTTCTCTCCAGTGCTCTTAAAAGTATGTTGAATATTTAGGGTGAGAATGCAACAATTGTATGAGAATTCTTCCAATTCCTGAATTTAGAAATGTTTGGAATCATTTCTCTTTGCACCATGCATGCGTTATCATCAGTTAAGCTTCACGGAATAAAAACTATATTTAATTTAATGATGTCTGCTGGCTAGGACGAACAGTCGTAACTTCATGCATGTTCTTCACCGTCCACGAGAAGATACTCTGACGCAATCGCAGCTCTGTTTCAGTACATGCCTCTAAATTCGACGCTAACCGACGGAGTTGCGGAGTTCTTTGGATAAAACAGTTGAACTCATTGAACGATTTTGCATCTTGCGACGCACTGGGCCACGAGCGTTCCAGCGATGCTGAACTTCATATCGAAGAGGCGTCAATTACTTTTGAAAGTTCAACGTGCACCTATGAAAACTGAATTCATCTTAGTTTAAACCAGTCGTGAATAAGCTTCATTGCTAGTTTCTTTTTAGGTCAACCAAGTACAGTAGATCATTTGGGAGCTGTTTGGTGAGGATATGACATATTCTAATTTTCATTCCGCTTTACAAACATTGGATCTGATCTGATTTTCAAGTAAGAATACTGTACTTACATTTTGAATTGCATATAATATGCGACCGGGTTGCCTCTGGCGAAATTCCGAGGCTTGTAATATCCGTACGCCTTTAAATTACTGTCGGTTGCTGCTCGAACCTGATATTTCTTCAGTGTTTCTCTTAATCTCCATAAAGTAGGAGGATACGTGACTGTTATTTCAATGCTTCGATTAAGAAAGTTGAAGTTTCGAAACTGTTATGAACTTTGACCAGCGGATGATTCAATCGGTAATTGTTGATTTTTTAAATTCGCCTCTTATTGAAAATGTTAACGCGAATTGTTTGACTGTGATAGTAAAAATTTATCTTTATGGTCCGGAAGGTTTGTAGAAGCTTCTTCGACTTCCGTAACTCATTCTCGCAACACCTGGTATGTAGTGACCGGTAGAAGTGGACAACCTGATGGAATGACTTTCTAGCTGACTGAAGTATAAATCGCGCACTAGTTCCTTTATTGATGTTTTTAACCAAGTTTGCTGCAAATTGCAGCGGTTGTTACGTTCGGGAAAGTCCTTTGCTCGATGATTCCGAAAAAGACTGAGGCAGGCGGTTGATACTCCATGTACATAAAGCTGTTGGATCACCGTACTCTTGAGGTCAGTAAATTTTCGCTCGTTATAACAATATTTACAAACACCGGTAGTTCCAATTGCTTCGACTTTCAGACTGCATTTTTTCAGTGTATCGTTAAGTGACGTAGAGAATTATAAAATGCCATGGAATACCTGAACACATCTTTTCCATTTTGGACGACATATCTGTTATCAAAGTCGAATGAAGGCTATCTGAGTCGCTACCTATTGATTGTGGAGTAGCAAAAGAATTGTGCTCTCGCCTTTGCTGTTCAAGATATGAAGGTTCCATTTTAGAGGACGGCACAGTTTTTCGTATCTATCTATATATCTTTTGACATTGAGTATGCAAATTGTATTGTCGTCAAGAGCAGGTCAGCTCTGTCACCTGACGGTTTGCTTTTGGTACACAGCTGCGAATGTCGGCCTCATCCTTAACTCCTCTCAGTCGCAAGTTATGAGGTACCCATTCAGCACAGCTGTTCTACAATTAGAACAGGGTCGTTATGCTTTTGAGAAAGTTGACAATTTAGGTATCACGGCTCCCAATGATGGCATAATTTTGCCAGAGTTAAATTGGAGGTCGCCCGAGCAAGAGAAATTCGAGAAATATTGAGTGTTGTACTCAAGTAGTTTGTACTCTCATGAATCGCCCTACCTTGAGATGTCATTTTGCTTTCTATGGGTATATATAGCAAAAAAAGCGTATGGCCACATGGCATTTATAAACAGTGAGTGCTTTTCGTGGTTCCCTTCTTTCAAGATATGGAAGTTTCCATTTATATTACTGTTTGTTAGAATTGCTAATTCAGAGAACAACGCGGATTATGCACGCATGTATGTTTTCCATCGCTCACGGAAATGCTCATGATTAAATATCAACGTTAATTATTATGTTCCGTTTATGCATTATAATATGCGCATATTATTACTACACCTAGAGTAATTTATGGGTTAAAAACTGCTGAACTAGTAAGATTTCTTTTTCAGTGACTGTCAAATTCACTTTCTGCCTTTAGGAAGAGTACTTGTGAGATGGTTTGTCTCATCAATTGTTGTAATATTTTATGCCTTTAGACAGCTTTTTCTTTAGTGATGGCGAGGATGGAGGACGAAGAAGTACAGGTGATTACATGCAAACGAGTTTATCCATTAAACCTGCTGATGCAGCACTGGCTTCGGCGGTTCGCGCAGGAAGCGGGACGCAAGGAGGCGAAAAGCGCATTCGCCTTTCAGAGGGCCCTAAAATCGCTCATGCTGTACCCGGGGCAGCTGGAGTCAATCGACGAGGCTAAGCATTTGCTACAGAACTTTGGATACAAAATATGCAAGATGCTTGAGAAGGAACTGGAGAAGTTCCGGGAAAACTTCGGCGAACCATCTCTTTCAAACTTGCCTGCCGAAATTTCTTGTTCCTTACAAAAGAACCAATCGAAACGAAGGTCATTCTCCAATGCTATCACCGCAACAACGAAGAAGCCGAGAACTACAACTGAAACATCGTCCCGTACTACCAAGAATAGCGCACGCGTTTCTTCGTCAGATGTTCATTTGCCTCAGGAAATGCTGAATTTCGACGGTAAGTGCCTAGGCGCGTCTCATCGTGAAGCTGTTATTGAATAATCAGTTCATCACATACACTGGTATTGGGAATTCCCTGTTCATCATGGCTGCTACTTGATGTAAATGGTATAGAGGGTCGGACAATACTACAAATGGGACGTATTTGGATGATAATTTAAATTTAAAAACTCGTAAGTCGGACGATTGGCTAATTTCAAGTTTAATTCAGTTTCAAAATGAGCAGATAGCCACCAAATAACAATCGCTTTATTTGTTTTGGATCCACCTGAGCGCTAGCTAGTAAATCGTGAGATTGACTGACAAACATACACAATCACAGAGTGGTATACGTACATAAATACATGTACGTTAGATAAAATTTATTTATAACTGTAGTGAACAGCAAGCATCCGCATTTCGGCCATTCCAACATTTTGAGCAATATACAGTTTTGTTGAGCGGACGAAAGAAAACAAAATACATCGCAACAACTTTGTACGCAATTTTTCACTGTATGCGTGATTATCCTCCAGGTTCCGGATCAGATGAGGCTGTTTTGAGGGCCTGAGTACAAGCGTACATTGGATTCAGATCTTTACGCGTTGTTTCACCTTCAATTTTCAGCTGGCCAGCGCATCATGTAGATGGTAAGACGAATCTGCTAGTATGTTGTTCGCAAATTCTCTGAATTTGATTCATTGAATCGATTGTTTGTATTTTAATTAATTAATTTTATTGACCATTCATCCGTTAAGTCGTTCATATGGGTTGAATTGAGGTGATTCAATGTTTCACTTACCTTCACTTTGTCTCATTTTGTTTGCGAAGAGGAACCAGGTTCGATTCTAGTGGAGTCATTCGCCTTTTTTCCTTCCGAGGGCGATAAAAGAGTTCCGCAAAAAGGAAGCTGGAGAATCTCGTAAGAAATAACTGGATTCTATACGCTCTATTGGTTGTCAAGCAGTACACAGTTTTAGAGAGAGAGAGCAATACAACATTCATGGCCGGTGGCAGAGAGACAGAAATTAACGTCGCCCAGTGAGCTTAACGAAAATGAAGTGTACCACAAATGGCGCCAAATTGTGAATGTGTAATCGAGATTGACATCCCAATGGTTAAAAATATTTTTCTTACTTTGTTTTGGGAATCGATATGCCGTCGAGTTGCGTCGGCATAGGCTAAAGGCAAGGCTTTGGCTAAACACCGTTTGTATGGGTAAACTTTCATGTATTCTAGTGTATTCGCAGACACCATGGTTACTAGCTTATTTTTGAATTTAGTGCTTCCTATTGATTATTATTTACGGTATGAATGCATATATGCTGATCAAAGTCATATGAAACTTTACTAACAGTGCCATTGTCAGGCAGTACTGTAGCGCTGCCGTTTTTGCGCCTCTCCTATTGCTAAATGTCCCGCTTTTGATTCAGTGGTAGAGCGAAACTATCAGCTTTATTTGACAAAATGGTTAATGAAACTATTCTCTCCTTTCACGACGGGTAATGACTCTGTTGTTGACTAGTATCTTCGTCGTCCTCACGTTGACCTTCGACAACCATCGCCGTACTACGTCTCAAATGCTGGAAGCCTGAAGTTGGTTCTGATGAACGACTTTGCGCGCTCTCCCTCTGCTGTCCAACATCTAGCGCGGCCGTTGGTAACTAGGTGATGACTGAGCCCGTATAACGTTCGACAAAATAACGTTGGAGGTAGGTGGCTAAGTTTAATGGGAAACTTCGCAACGCCCCTCCCCATTGTTTTCTTTTCTCAGTCGAACGTGGGTCCGGCAACAGCTGAGTTATATTCAACCTCAAATTGTAATTTAATTTGGATAAATGAATTTTGCCTTATACTAATCACCAAGTCTGTTAATGATCCGCGTCAGTCGCTGGTCATAAATGGATTCTCGGCATTAGACAGCAGTACCTGTTTTGTGTTCATTTTGAATAATGGTTCCTTCAAGTTTTAGACGTGAAACTTGGCGGCTACGTTCCGAAGCATCGATCAGGAGCGTACGCGATTTTGCGAATCCTCTACGATCGAAAATGCCGGTCGGAAGACGATTCGATGACAACGAGGGAAATTCAAACCAGTGGTCAAGTGTATTGCGACGAAAATTTGGGTGCCTCTAGTCGTAACAATCCTCGCACCGCCTGGATGGCTCATCGAACATTGATCAAGCACGGTCTGATAGAGAAACAACGCCACAAGGAGAATCACTACTCGCTCACCAGTAAAGGTTGGCTGTTGGCGAAACGCTTGAGCGAATGCCGTGTGGAAGCCATTT